GATAGACTACCTAATGAAGTAAATAACGCTACGACTCCCACAAATTCTGACAGTTTAGCCTGGATCGAACGACCGCAGCCATTTTCATCGCTAGGTAATCAGTAGCGGTGCTTATTGTTCTTGAAAAATGAAATCACAGAACACCCGCATGTGCTTACAGTTTCTGTTTGTGATTAACCAACGAGAATACATCATACTCCGTAGATAAACCAGAGTCGTACAATTAGCTATCAGACTGTCTTATAAATCCATTATTCTTTGTGGTTAAACAAAAAGTGCTATTTTATGATAGCAGTAGTACCAGCCCTATGAGTAGCATTGGACTCAGAGGCTAGCTAAACAACAGGTATGAGAAAGTCCCCAGTATACGTGAGTGTACCTTCAATGATGATGCTACAAACACTAACGACCTCCCGAAGCTCCTGGTCATTTCAACCGATATCCGGGCAGCATTGATTTCAACTCAATTATTCTAATTTTAGCATGTTTTGTAAACAATGAATTTGGTATTCCTGTCCAAAAGAATATTATACTAACCGAACTTAATAACTGAGTGTGTGGGAAGATGATACCTCCTCATGTTACTCATCCGCCCATTAAATCGCCGTCAAGATGAGCCCTGTACCCGAGTAGAGGTAACATTTTTTCATTGGAACATGTAGTGGGATAAATTCTTGTAAGCAAGGTATGGCAGCTTGCAACAGTATGTACATTTTTTGGATATCATTAGTATTATTTAGTGAGATTAGCTTACTACGATTAAACACTTCCAGAATGGAATGGTCTACAACACAACTTGTACCACAAGAAGGGAAGTTCAATGTGCATTTACATCAATTGATTATCAGCAGCACGCTTTAAACGAACACAAATGAACGATCTGGTCAAAAATGATTGAAACCAGGCTGTATAATGGTTGTTCGTTTCCTTACCAAGCGAATATTTGTCACCATTTACCATATGTGCTTATATGCAATGGCCCTTCCTTGCCGCCATTCGAACTCGTTTTTTTATAAGTTCAGTGCTGCTGAGGGAAATCACAAGTTTCTATTTACGTCCCTCCAGGGATTTACTAATTGGTTGATAAATTAAGCATTTGATTGGATCCGAAAGTTGTGTGTGTGGACGGGGCAATCGGTTGGGAGTTTGACGAAACGCATGAGGGCACGCACAAGCCCCCATCCCCGGTGAAAACTTTCCCAACCAAGTAGAGATCGATAACTGATCATTGTTACAAAAACAACTGCTCTTTAGCCATCTGTTACACAGATTGAAGTATGGACAAAGTTTGGCACATGAGTCTTCCGTGCATCTGGGAGCGCCAATGTTAATGTCATTCAGATTCGTGCAAGTGGAACTGAGATTGAATACAACTGTTCTCGCTGGATCTGATGTTGATGAGCTTATGGTATAGTGATAGTGTTTCGGCTATGAAATGCGAATGGGTGTGTGAATGAGAGAATGAGCAGTCAAACAAAATCACCCGAAAATGAGGAGGAATATATTGAGCAGAACAGAAAGGCGAAAGTGGCAGCGCTGTTCGGTCGGTCTTTCTTCTTTCCTAATAAACTTCAAATGATGTTACTCACTTTTGAAAAGGGGATCAAAGGTGCGTCTGGAACTATTAGTAAGCACATTATTGGTTTCAATATCTAATGGTTCAAAAGTGGCAGTATTAGAAAACAAACATGGGTTACCTTGGATACGGGACCACAAATAGGAAGACAGACTAGTTTACTCATTCTTTAAATTTACTATTTTCTTCCTGTTCTTTCTCTTCTGGACACAGGAACACTCCAACCACATCGCAAGTTAAACTTTTATTGATTTACTGTTAACTTAAATGAAATTATCAATCCAGTAATGATCAAACAGCTTTGTTCTCGTTCCAACAGTGGAGGCTTTCACGGTATGATTAAAGATGGTGGATTAATCAAGGTAGTGAAGTGGCGTTTTGGTGATTGAAATAAATATGATTAAAACAAATTCTGCTAACTTTTTTTCTTTCCACAACCTAGCTACTAATCAACGATGCATTGATAATGTTTTTTTAAGTTTCCTCTGTCTGTCGTAGCCTGGCGGTGATGTCCAGACTTGATCAACCTGACTGAGTAAAATGTTGTGATGCGGGCAATTATGAACAGGCAGTGCGCAATTTATCAATAAATGGTCTCCTCGGGGCGATGCAATAACGTGGAATAAAAACCATTGATTTTTAATGAAAATGTAAATAAACTTTCCAATTTTTTGCAATGTGCTGGGGGAAATTTCGTTCACTAAGCACAATCGTTGTCCATCTGTCAACAGTTACATGCACCAAAAAAAGTGTTGCACTATCACAATGTGACTGTTATCTCACATTCTGAATCGTTCACGCCAGAGGTTTCTTCTGACTTTGACCAACAGAATTAACCAACTATTTTGCAGAAGGTACCACGGAGTTTCAACATCAACTAGCTTGTGTAATGTAGATCGTTTACTCTTTGGGGTTTTGCAGCAGTCACCTATTATCAGTCTCAGGGTGCACTGAATAGTTGTTTTGTCTTCTTAAATCAGTATCCCTTATGAGTACTCTTTTGTCAATCTCGGGATTATAACCAAACATCAAATAAATGATTGGTGCTTCGTATGGAACACGAAAAAATTCCATTATGGAACCCAAATTGGTCACACCGTTATGAGGAGCGAACAAGTAAAACAAAGAAACTATTCTTAGACCCAAATGTCCTCCAATTTGCTTGCCTTAAATCGACATTATTGTCCGTAAGCATTTGACCTCGCAAAAGATGGATGAGAGGGCAACAAAATTACAGATCTCTACCATGGAGTTTCGGAAAACCCTGGAAAAATCAACTGTAATAAGCTCATATTTTAAACAGTTATCAGGATATTTCACCTTAGTTTGTAACTTTAAGCGTTGGCTTAGTAATGGAAAAACAATACAACTGTTGCGAGATGTTAACATTTCGTTTAATCTGCTCAACTCCGACTCATTGCGGCCATTAGTGGAATTGATTTGGGCAAACCTAAACATGGCTGGCAAACTGGTTCCGTCTCACACACCGTACACCAGTTCACCTGCAGTTGAGGTGCCGCAAAAATATGCAGCACAAACCGTCAGCTCTCATAACGGATGACCGAATATATTACCAACTCAGTGACGCAAACGATGACGGTCAAACGATTACAATAAATCCAGGGTCATCTGTTGCAAAATATGTTATGACAACAAGACATACGGTTGACCCCAATTCGTCTTTTAAACTCCTGGTACGTAATCGCAATGCTAAAATTTAGGCAATTAGGGAAGCACTGCTTATTCGATTACATCACCTGACCTTGTGCACACAAACGTTTCTGATACCAGTGATACACTTACCGTAGAGTTGACCTTCTACTTCTAAATTTAGTAATCTTTGTATGCTTGTACACGTTCGTTCACCATAATTGATTAATCCTATGTGTTACGTATGTGCCTCTTTTAAGTCAGCGACTGAGAAGATTAAACGAAATGTTAACATCTCGCGACCTTTGTCTTTATTCTGTATTGATGAAATAGAGAAAGTGAACGCAATGCTTCAAGTTTTTTAATAATAATATCACCATCATGTGACCGGGTGCACAAAGCAATCCTGTCTGATAGTTCTCACCCCCTACCCACAACCCCCAATGCGGACCTGCCCTTGTTAGTCCATTTCCACATCCGGACTACATTCACAATGCTGTAGCCTAACACTGCGGTTTATCACACAGACACACACACCGGTGTACTTTTCTATCCAGAAAGACTGTTTTGGCTCACACAGAGAGAAACTGATTGATGATTTGAAACAGATGCTGCTTTAAGTTAGCATACATTGCCCAATTATTTGACCATGAATCCAAATCGCATTTTGCAGTTTGTTTCATATAAGGCCCTGATTTGACGAAACATGCTAATCTAGATATTGAAAATTTGTCCACTCATTGAACAAATAAAGTGTCACTAGTTTGAATTGATCTAATTTCAAACTCGATTTGGTTTCAAGCTGAAATAGTTTCTCTATCCCATGTAAAATGATACTTCAAAACATGAAACCCGATTGTTTTATTGATCACTCGCAATTTTGTCCAATAGATGTTATCGATGCACTCGTTTAGGACTACTACGACCCTAATCCTTGTTAAAGTAACGCTGAGCAAACGGAAACACCTCGTGATTAGAAAGTTAAACAAAGTTTTTAGTAGAATCCCTTTGTTCCATTACTGGTGGTTGATATGATCATTACTGTCATGCGTGTGAATAGTGAAGTCATTTCGTTGTCATGGCAATCGGATTACTTGAACCAATTGGTGTTGTGTACAAAATAGCGGCTTTACAAGGCCGTTGTCAACATGTAAGTTGCACAATAACTCTCTCTAGATGATGGTTTATTTTGAGCTCTCACCGACCGTCTATCTAAACTCTTCCAGTTGAAATGGGCTTGGTAGCTGTTTGTCTGCCACTCGAAACTACAATGACGGCAATAAGGCGTGTTTCCATCATGCTGCTGTTGTGTTAGCGTTGTTTCCAATGCGTGCGATATTATGCGCCTGCAAATGAACGGTTGTTTTGGTCACGGATCGACAACTTTTGATTCGTATCGCGAAGACATCTCGTCATCCTACTACTCCCAAATTCGATCCAGTTTTCGTTTAACGTTGCATTATGCTGGTTCCGGTTAGGCCCCCAATGACATTTGAATGACAGTTGCAAACACCTATTTGCATTCTACTTGAATTATTCTTCTGCTGGCATCTCTATCAGATTACTTCCAGGGCTGGGATATCGTGGATGAATCACAATAGTTGCCATGCCCCTTTCAACAGGAATACCCATGATTATTCTGATCTACAAAAGGCAGTAGGTCTGATCTACTTGCTAATAGTGCGAATAAAGCCATGTGCACTGTTTCTCTCCAGCTCGTAAACACACCTGCTCATTGGTTCCTGTGCAAATTAGCGCTACCCAAATCTCTGGATCACGATATTGTTTTATCGCACAAAAAAGATACAAAATTTCGTAAGTCTCTGTTTCCACACACCTGATTTTCTCGGTCCAGTTTTGCGGTCGTGTACAGGCTTCCATTGGTACCTAAGCGCAATGGGATTTTACCTTGGCTTAGCATAGTGGTATTGGATTCAGATTTCTTAGACTCCAGCCCGGATTTTTCTCCAGTCTGAGGGCGAGACAGGAGCATAAATTCAACTTCTTTATTCTTGCCCTCATCTCGATCCATGACTTGTAGGTCGCCAATCCAAGTGTTTGGTGGTTGATTCTCTTCCACAGCAAACTGTCTTGGACCGCGAAATTCCGGAGCGTTGTCGTTCTCATCCAGTACACGGATTTGTACCCGGGTTGAGGCTGTGTGCTGTGTGCGTGCTGCTGAGCTTCGGGATCTGGAAACCGTTGTCCGACTCGGATCAGTATCGTTTTGCCAGCCATCAACCGCCAGAACGGTTAGCTGAGAAGAAAAGCACAACATAGACGAAAAAGGAATTCGTTTTATTTCTGCGATAGGGTTAAACATCAGCCTATTAAAACCATTTCTGTGGGTTAAAACAAAAGCTTAATTTTGAAGCGATCGATTCGCTGAGATACGTCATGAACTGAGACAATGAAAATTGTCGAAATTAATTACAAATGATCTTTTCCGGTTCTCCTTGTGAGTACAACACTCCGAGAGAGGAAAATTGTGGGAAGATCTTTAAATCCAACAAATTCAAAACGATGGAGTTAAAAGGAATGTGAGTGAAAAAGCGTCAGCAGCTAAGCGGGGATTCTTATTCCACGGTGGCTGTTTCATCACCTTCGCCTGTACAATTTAGTATTTCTGGAACAAAACCTTGCAGTGAAGTATCTTGCCGATGAGTTTAGTCATTGTGGCACACTAAGCTTATATAGATGACGTAGACCGCAAAATTGGAGGTTTCTTTTCTTTATAGAGTGTCAAGCTTGGATTAGCCCATTCGATTGTTCAGAGGCACCAGGCACTCCTGATGATCTTGGGTGTGAGTTCCACTCCTTGGGAGATAGTTAATTCCCCACGAGACAATGTATTCAAATGCGATGGAAACGCTTTATGATAACCAACAAAGAGCACTGGACAGCTGTTTCGTCTTGTTTGGGACTCGTCGGCTGTGCGTACTTTTTGTGTTCCTGTCAGGCCTCGAACCGCGATTAGTCGGATCGGGACTTCAAACGGACTATTTCCTGTTTGCCTTCAAGAAGAAACCAAATATTAAACTGCGATTCTCCGCTCTCGAACTTTTGGTTTGTTACATACGCATTTCAGAGANTTTGTTAGTATAAGTGTTCGAAGCGTCTTTCTTAATCATTCTTGATGGCAGACATAATCAAAGGTCACGAGAAAGTGCTTCCAATCGGACTTAACCGAGGTAAAGCCCAAAATAGATTCTTTCGGTTATTTTCGTAGTCATAACGTTGGTCAAAGTTTTGTTTGGTTGTGGTTGAATGATATTTCCAGCATACTCTTCAGCTTCTCCTTCGGCTTTTTAGTCGTGTTAATTCACCCTATCATTTGTGGTAGATGTCCACATCGTGAGCGGTATACGTTGAGAGCAGTTTACAGCACAAGCTTCCAAACGCTTTCTTATCGGGCTTACAAAAATAAGTTAGCAGAACCGGCAGGAACGTAAATGAAAATTCTGCTGACAATGTGAGCTCTACTATCGAAAGTTAAACTACAAACTCAGAGAACGAACAGCTACCAAAGTCGTATTCGTGTTTGCATTTGCTGCATAAGCTAGGTCATCCAGGCCAGTCCGAACGCCCTCTGAAAACACTGACGGAATGCACGGGGGTGAATGGCCATCGCCAACAGAGTTGCTTTAATGAGCACTG